CAGTAAAGAAGCAAATAATGTCAATGTGCGAGAAAAGCATGTGCAAAGGCCCTGTGGTAGGATGTACCCCACCTGGTCAAAGCAACAAGAAGTTCGGATATCATCAACATTCTTGTTTTATAGACAAGGAATTGAGATCCAGACAACAGAAAAGACTTGCTCCAGACCACACAACTAGCAAGTGGACATGCCAGGACTAGAACCCGGGGTCTCAGGCATCACATCAGACAGTTCTTGCCACTAAGAGCCCTCACTGAGCAATTACCATGTGTCATTAAGCAGTAACCATATGTTAGGATGCTTGTGAGAGCCTCCCTGCCATCAGGGAGAGCTGGGAAGGGAGGTTTCCTTCTAATCAGCCCCAAAGCCACAGGGACACTCACCCCCAGGCTTGGGGATATGCACACAGGTGAGTGTGCAGACGCTTCTCCTTCCACCCACCAAAAGCAGGTACAAAGACAACTGTCGCTGAGGGATGCCCAAAGACTAAGCTAATAAATAAAGCTACCCAATCAGTGGTTCTTGGAGCAGAGAGCACTGGGGAATGAGAAACTGCCCTAGTGTCAGGCAAATCCGGCACTACTGCCACCAAGTCCCACCAATCTACAACCTCCACCAACAGCAACAAGGAAGACAAGCGAAGCTGGGAAGAGACAGGGTCAGGGCCTGAAAAGGGACTGGAGCTCACCAGCTGCAGCTGCGTGAACACAGCAAGCGCCAGGCCCTCTCTACGACTCATTTGTAAAAGGGGACCTGCAACCCTAGTCCTTGCTCCAAATGTCCTGCAGACCACCTTGGCGACCGTCTCAACCCATAACAATGGCATGGGCAACTCAAACTAGACAGCACAGGCCTATGGCATGAACTGGAGGGTACAGAGGAGACAGTCACTCTCCCACCCAGCCCACGTCCCCCTGGCTAGGGGCAACTCCCACTGGCGGCTTTTTAAGAGTCCGTCTGGAAAGTTCCAGGATTGGAGCCAAAATTATTCTCACTTGCTTGTACGTGCAAACAGCAATTTGTCTGAGGTCACTGGCCTGAAAAGGCAGTGCTGAGATTGGAAGCCCCACATCTATCTGGCTTCACAGCCCAAAATTTCAACCTCAACACTCCTATTACCAGCTCTTCCAGGTCCAGGAAAGGTCTGGAGGCCCAGTCCACAGACAGCAGGTTCTGCCACCAAGAATCTCCCCACCCAGGGGACACTGCACATTTTGAGATCATGCACTTGTTTTTCCTTCCTGCCCCTGCCCCTTGGTCTTGGGGCTTCAAGCCTGGCCAAGCTGGGCAGGGGGCTCAATCCTAGGACAAGGAGGGGGATCAGGATTGTCAAGTCTGTCCCCTCATCCCCACTCCCTGCCTGGTCACACCCCATCATGGCTCAAGGGACAGCCATGGACACCCCCTCAGTGTCCCAGTCCTGAGAGTCACCTTTCTAACACAAAACTTGAACAAGCATGTCCTTGCTCCAAACCTTGCCCGGCTCCCCACTGCACGGCAGGAAGATCCAAACTCCTCCTCCAAAGTTCAATGCCTTTACCTTCCAGTCTCCCACTCCTGTTTGTTACCCACCACCTGCCACCTGGCCTCACCTTGCCATGCCCACAGGTGCCCTCTTTCCATCTCTCTTCACTCAGCGACCTTTCTTGACCAGATGCTCTTGCCATTTTCTCATTTCTTCCTTATACTACCTCCCCTGTTTTATAATCAGTTCCCCACTTCCCCCACCCCGCCACACTAGAGTGTAAGCTCTATGAGGGCAGGCCCCTTGTCTCTCTCAATGACAGTTTTATCCTGATACCCAGCACAGTGCCTGGCACACCATGTGGGCACAACTGTTTGTTGAATGAATAAATGAAATGACCAGAAGCAACATCCCCTCCCAACATCTGCCCACTTCCATACCACTGTTTGGAAAATCCCAGAGGACAGCACTGGAAACTCGGCCACCCCCAGAGCCATCCCCCTTCCCTCATGCCTGGACACCCTTTGTCTCCTCCCTTCTTCTTTGCTGTTACATTAAGCAAAATTTCTCCATTGGCAAATAAATGCTTTTTCCATCAATAACCACGGATGACTAAATCAAACCTTTAGCTGCTGTTCTTATCTCTTAAACAGACCCATGGATTTCCCAACTAATCAGAAGGTGAATCAAACGCTGCCATTTGAGGTGGGAGATAATCCGGTCAATTTCTTCCAGGAGGAGGGATCTGAGTGGGCATTTGCGTACGGCCCCCAAAAAACAAACACTCTTGTAAATAAAGCCGGCTTCCATCCTGTCTCCACAATGCAGCTCTTATTGAGTGAGTCAGGTGTTTGGCTGATTAAAAATTGATCCATTTCAAAATCTAATCAACAGAATAGGATTCTTTCATACGTTATCAAGAGAGCTGCTGACATCGAAAACCAAACCTGTTATTAACCCATGAACTCCGGTGACCCGCTGCTGGCCGCTCTGTGGGACCGTAAATTATTCAGTGGTCTAAGACCCAGGCCAGGGAGCCTGATGGATTTAGTCAGGGGCGCAGTCCAGGGGGTTCAGGTCGATGGCGTGGCCCCACCAGTCCCAGGAGACTGGGGTTCCAGACACCCGGGGGTCTTGGCCTCATGACTGGGAATACATTAGCCTGTCCATCCGGGCCTCTCCAGGGCTGTGCCTCAGAAGGAAAAGCCTCTCTCCTCACCTGAGCAGGGCAGGAGGGCTGACCCGGGGTCTTCGGGGCTACAGGGCTGGGGATGACATGGTTCCTAATTCCCAAGTTAATAAATGATTTTCCTTGAACTACAGAGAAGGAAAAAATAAACAAAGATGGGGGGGTCCGGGTGCATTTTGTAAACAGTTAGGCACAGGCAATACAGTTAGTTCAAATATTTTACCTCTTCATGCAAGAAAGAGCTCTGTTGCAATGGGACTGTTTAAAAGAAGAGATGAAAAAAGCCAACCATTGGCTGTTTATGTGTCTGGAAGGGCCCAGAGGGGCAATGGGCTTCCTCAGCAACTTCGAAACTCTTTGACCTTGAATTAAAGCCTCATTAAGAGTCATATCTTACAAAAACAAGAGCAGAGTAAATAAAGGTTTTTTTAAAGGACACACACATACCCACGCCCAAGTTTCCATCCTGCTAAGCAGTCAGGAAACCCAGGGGCTGCAGAGGCTGCACTTGGCATTATTATTTGAGGGCCCATGTTCCATGGTTGACCTGATAAAAGAGGATTTAGGAGGGAAAAATGTAATACTCTCAGGCAGAGCTGGAAGATGACTGGGAGAAAGGAGCCAGGCCATCTGCTAGGGACAGAGGGCACTGAGACCAGTTCTGTGCTTCTGGAAGAGCACCAGGGAGTGGAGACGCTGCTACGGGTCCCATGGAGCAACTGCCAGGAAAACCAGCAAGACCCCGCGAGCTAGGCAGGCAAACAGAGTTCAAGTCCCAGCTCTACCACTACCTGGCTATGTGACCTTGAGGAAGTGACTCGACCTCTCTGAGCCTTGGTTTTCTCCTCTATCAAATGGGCAAAATAAAGCAGCTATGTATTTTAAATTCTCCAGGTAATCTGTATAGCAGAGGCACAAGGGAATTACTCAAATGTTCAACAAAGGGCATCTGTTGTTATTTTTGCTAATATTATTGTGCCAGGTGCTTGTGCTCCTTTCAAGGAGTGTCTGGTAAGTTGGCAGTGAACTAGCATCCTCTGCAGCTGCATACTCCCTACTGGAGTGCTTGACCTTTATAAAAATAATTCTGACCTGCCTCAAGACACAAGGTTTTAGTGGGAAGCCCTGAAACTATCAGGGTGTTTGAATTTGAAAGCCAAAGTCCTGGGTTCAAATTCCAGCTCAACTAGTTACTAGCTGTTTGACTTTGTGAAAGTGAATTTACCTCTCTGAGCTTTCTCTTTCACAACTTAAAAAATATGAGATGATGATAGCACGGGCCTCATGGAACTCACTGCCATGCCTGGCACTTACTGAGTGCTCAATTAGTGCTGGTGTTGGACATCATTATTATTCAGACTCAGTTTCCCACCTGACCAGGAGATTATTTGGATCATTTACCAGCAAGAGCTGAACCTGGCAGGGGGCTCATGCTGAGTGACCCTGGGTAAGTCACTCAGCCTCTCTGAATCCTAGGTTCCTCCCCAATAAGGACAGAAAATAACTATAAACTCTGAAGGACAAGGCTGCTGTCTGGCTTGACTACACCACCATTGCCGCAGCCTAGAATAAAGCCCAGCCTACACCAAGAACTGAAAGGAAAAAGAGGGAGGGTGGAAGGGAGGGAGGGAAGGAAGGAGGGACCTTTCTAGTAGACAACACCTACAAATAAATACATATGCTGGACAAGTTTCCCCAGAAAACGCCCTTGCCCAGCACAAGTTGGCAGCAGCAAGTGGACACAGGAGGAAGGGGTGCGTCTCCCTCTCCAGACCCGAACCCTGAGGACCCCGAGCTGCTGGGGGAAGCGGCTGGCTCATCCCAGCCTGAACATCCTGGATGCCTTGGCTCCGCCCCAGAAAGCATCCCAGTCAGAGAGGCTGACTCCCCAGCCGACAAGCTCACAGGCCACCAAGAATCTGCCCTTAAATAATAATATATTTATAAGTCTGAGGCCCCTCTGACCTCTCCTCAAAGCAAAATCATCCTCCAAAGGCCCCGTGACCTGATTGTATTGATCCCGTCTGAGCTGTAATTTCGTGGCTTGGAGTGAGCAGACGGGGTTGACCCGCCCAGCTGGCTGCGGCCTGGCGGCTCCAGGGGTACCCAGCAGCAGCTGGGATGAAAGAGATCAGATCTACCTCAGAGTTGGGGCGAGGGCTGCTCCGGCGGTAGGGTGCAGGGCGGTGAGGGGAGCTGGTGGTGGTCAGCACCTCTGTCCATGGCTGCCCTGGGGTCTGGCCTGCTCTGACCCAAGTCAGAGGCCAGTGGGGACCAAATGAATGGACTGTAAATCCCTGAGTTCTAGGACCCCAAACCCTCCCCCTCAGCCAGGCCCCACCTTACCTGGCCAGACGGCGGGGTCTCAGACCTGGGTCCCAGAGACGCCACCGCCGCACGGTGGTGGTCGGGACCTGGCGGGCACCTTGAGCTGCAGCGGCTCCCAGGCCAGCCTGGTCCTCCCTGCTGCTGGGGCTGCTGTCCAGTGTTTACCCGCTGCCTGCTTTCCTCATGACAGGTCTTCCAAGAACTGCAGACAGAAATCGATGCATCTGGTCCTGGTGCCCACACCCCCACCTTTCCCTCCCGCTGCCAAAGTTCAGCGCTGCTTCCTGTAAAGCTGGGGCAGGCTCAGTGCTGAGCTATGGAGCAGTTCAAGGTGGAAACAGTCCCTCGGCCCCCGATCAGCTGAAGGCCTGGGCAGAAGGGGCCTGGGGAAGGTCAGGCAAGGCCCGGCCCCATCGTCACCCACAGGGCAGAGCTGACCAGGCAGGGAGCAGCCATCCCTGTCCCCACCTTCTGCTCTGTGTATCCCCTGAGCGGACGGCTGGCTCCTAGCATCTCACTCACCTGGGCAGTTGACCCTAAGTCTTTACCCTGAGCTACCTGGGGCCTTGGTTAAGAACTCAGACTCTCACCCCAGCCTCCATGACTCGGTTTCAATTGATGTCTGGTGGGTCGGGATTCTGCACTTGAACTAATCCTCCGGGTGATTCAAATGAGAAACCAAGTTTCAAAACAGTTTGTGGGCAAAGATGCAGCTTCCAGCAGGCTTCGAGGCTCAGAAGAGAGAAGCGGAATTCAGAGGCCTGCCAGCTAGAATGGAGGATGCCCAAATAAATCAGAATTCAGATAAACAGTGTGGGGTTTTTTTTTTTGTTTTTTTTTAGTATAAGTTATATCCCAAATATTGCACTGGGTATAGTGAGACTAAAATTATCTGTTGTTTACCTGAAATTCAAATTTAACTAGACATTCTGTATTATTGTCAATTTTTGTTCTTTTTTTTTTTTAAATCTAGCAGCCCAAACCAAAAAAATGGTACCACCCATACCAAAGGACTTACTGACATAAACCTCAAGTCAGCCACATTCGAATATTTACAGCCACTAAAAGGGAGACCAATAGCTAACATAGCACACGCAGCCAGACCCTGTTTCACGCGTTTCACATGTATTAGAGGAGGCACGGGGTCCTCCGGCGACAGGCAGGCCTTGTTCCTGTCGCTGTGTGACAGAGGCGGAACGGGCACAGAGAGGCAAAGTCAGCTGGCCAAAGCCACACAGCTAGGAGGCAGAGATGGGTGTTACTAAAGGCAGTCGGCTTCCAGGGCCCGGTACGGACTGAATCACTGCTTTCTAATCGAAGGAAAAATGATAACAGACTAAGAGACTAGACCATGTGATCCAGTATGAAGTGGAATGATATTTACGGCATGATTTCATTCCATAAGTTGTACACATAAATCATCTATCAGAGCACAGGGAAGGGAACAGAAGCCAGAACTGGCACCAAGACCTTGAAACCCACTTGGGAGCAGCCAGGCTGGAGCTGAGCATGTGGCCCCTCACTCCTCACAGACAACCGGCTCTCCACCAGAGGCCATGATGCCCCTCTCCTGGGGACATGGGGCATTCCCTGGAGGCCCCCTTAGTTGTCCCCTTGGGGGAGGCTGCTGGCATCCAGGGGTGCTGCTAATACCCTACATGCATGGACCACCCCCCATCCAGCACAGACTCATCCAGCCCCAAACATCAACAGTGCCAAGACCAAGAGACCCTGATTTACACCCAACAAAACACACGTGCCTGGACGGACCCCAAGAGACTGACCCATGATGTCCCCACGGCGCTGCTCTCAGGAGTCCTGAATTGGAAGCCACCCAAGTGCCCATGAACAGGATGAATAGGCTGTTGTCTACTCACACAACAGAACACCAGAAGCACCGAGAATGAATACACTGCAACCACATACGACAACGCGGGAGAATCTCGAGAAGAGAATGTCGGCCAAAGCAGCCAGACACTCAGAGCCACTCCAGGCATATCCCTGCTGGGTTTGCAGAACTGAGCACTGGAGGCCTGGATGGTCGCCCTCGGGATTTACTAGGACCAGAAGGAAAGGGCATGGTGGAGCCCTGGGCGGGTCTATGTCTCAATCTGGATGGTGGCCCCACGGGGGCATCTAGCTGTGACGAGTCCTCGAGCACCTGCTCTGCGTCCTCTTCTTGTGCTTGTTACTTGGCGACAGAAAGTCTAAAGGAATCACGATAAGGATCTCGCAGAAGCTGGCAATTTTCATTTTCTCCTGTTCCCTTATTTGTTCCTCCGGCTGTGGCCAGGCACTGGTGTGCTTTTTAATGAATGAGGGGGCCGACAGGAAATGCGTTCATTCATTCATCAAAACTCTGCTGCTCCCTGCAATGTGTTGGGGGGTGGCAGGGGTGCCCTGGGGGGACATCCCTGCCCTCAGCAGCTCCCAGTTTGTGGGAGCAGGAAGAAGATATAGCTGCATCCCAGGTCGGGGCCAAGCCAGGCAGCGTTTGGATACTGTGTCTGTCCAGCCCAGTGTTTTCATGCATTTTATTTTCCTGGGGCAGGAAGTCCCCCAGTTGTCTGGTACCTCCATTCCTTCAACAAAGTCCCTCCTGCACACCCAGGCTGAATCTCTCTGGCTGACGGCCAGAGAGGAGTTTGCTTCTCTGAATTAGGAACTACAGTGGGCTCTGCACTATGTGAGACAGACACAGGATTACAGAAACAGAGGGAGCAATACTGTATGTGGTACGAAGGGACAAGGTGGGGATAGGGGCATGTATGGACAAGACACCACTACATAATAATACATAAATACCTGGGGCTAGAGGAGTTGCTAGCTTCAAAGACATAAGAGAAGGGATGCCCGAGCTGGGTGCTGATGGATGAATAGGAGTCCACTGGATAGGCCAGGTATGGAAATGTGGATGGGAACAGCAAGAAAAGGGTGCAATGCAGCTCTCTGGTAGGTGCACTGGGTTCAATGGGGCAGGTACACACTGTGAGGGGGCCTGCATCTGGACAAGTAGGGGGCAGCAGACATTTATTGGGCCCTTACCAGGCAAGGCTAAGGAGACAGGCTGAGGAAGTGCTTTCCCTGTCTTGTCTTCATTAAACTCAGCAACCCCATTCTACAGATGGGAAAACCAAGGCTCAGAGACGTGACGGGGTTGGCTCCGTGAGAAGGCAGAGTCTGGGATTTGAACACAGCCCAAGCCTGACTCTACAGCCCCATCCTGAGCCACGAAAGTCCCCCTCCCCTCCACAGGATGGTCAGGCCAGTACTGCCAGCACCCCTTCCCCTCTCCTCCTAGGGGTCTGCCTGGAGCCAAGGCCCCCGAGGAGGCACAGGAGCTAGAAAAGAAGGGGAGAGCACTGAACCAGGAAAGGCAGAGCAGGTAAGTGACAAAGCGCGGCTGCAGGGCCTGCTGGGAACACAGGAGAAATACCAGCTGCTCAAACCCGCGTGGTCTTTAATCTCTTCAGAAAATGAAGGCGGCTCCTGGGTCCCTGGAGAGCCCAGAGTTTGGGCTGAAGGCTTTCTGGAAAAAAGCTCACTGTTGGCAGCGTCTCCAGTCACCCCGGGTGACGTCTGACACTCCGCCGAGGCGCTCTCTGACAAGCTCTTCAAAGGCCAGCAATCGGCCAGCTTTGCTGTCTTTTCATACAGATGTGATTCACCCACAGGAAGTGCTTTCCCCGCGCCTGGGAGTTATTTTGGTTGGAGGAAGCCAACCTCACAGAGAATCCAAGAAAGAAATCAAAACGGGACTGGGGGGAAGGGGGAGTAACACTGGCAAAATGAAGAAAAGTGGCATCTGGGTAAATTGTACACAAAACAATCTTTTTCAGATGATCTCTTTTGAAATCAAAGATGGGGGGGCAGCCCATCGGCAGGTGTGGCGGGCTCAGGGAGATGTGGGGTTTGTCAGTGTTCGGGACACCTTGAAAAGGTGGACAAACCCTATTCCTAATGAGCCAGACCCACTGGGCTGCCAAGTGAGGGGAGGGTAGGTGACCCCATCTGTGGGTCTGTGGAGAGCCTGGGAGATTCAGAAGATCAGGGATACCTCCCATCTGAGGAGGCTCCACAGGGAACCTTGTTTCTCTGGGTGGCTCACTGACACAACAGTGGCTGGGTCACTGCCCAATCCCTCTCGGAAAGTGCCAGCAACGAAAGTGTGTCCAAAGCCCACTGGCAGTTCAGGTCTTCCCAGGGCTCTGTCCTTGTGTGCCACAGGCCCTCCCTCTGTCCCCTCGTCCTCTACATGATGTTCTTCAAACAACAAAGCACATCCTGCTGGCAGGCCACTACTAGGCCAAGGGCACATGTGCTGTTTCTACAAATGTCACCTTTGTAAAAATTTAGTCATGCAGCATGGAGTGCCAAGTTTCTAGAACCTTCCAGATTCATGTCTCCCACCCAGAGACATGTGGGGAGAGTGGGGAAAGGGGTTTGGATTTTTGGTGGGGGAAAGTTCATCTCAATGTGATTAACTGCAAAACAAAAAGACAACAGAATGGCTTCCTGTAATCAAATATCAGGTGGTAAGGGAGAAAGTGAGCTCGGGATGATTGAGTCGGGGCTGTCTCACCCCACATCTTGACTCTGCTGCTCCCCAAATGAAACTGTCCCCATGAAACCGCCTGCAACCTTGGCTCCTGCCATGTGGAGGGTTCTTTCCTTGGGGCATCTCAAGTACCCTCTACTGAGGAAAAAGATTCCCTTAAGGGTTCCAGTTGAAATGTCCCTGGGAAGCTCTCTGATTGGCTGAGCTGAGTCATGTGACTCCCCCCATGGCCCAATCATTGTAGCCGGGAGCAGGTAGAGTTTTGCAGGAGTTGAGTCACGTGATTTAAAGAAGGTGTGAAGAGGCAAGAAGGCTACTACAGGAATGCGGGGAGCAGGGCAAATACCCCAACTGTATTTGCTACATGCTGTGAGTGGCAGGCTCTGCCCTGCTGGCTGACTTTGACCTTCTAGGATGCCAGCCCCCCAGCCTGACTTCTCCTTTATCTGTCTCCATTATCCTGAGAGACAGATTCATAACAGGGATGTGGGTCACAAATTGGAACATCCTTCGAGCATTCACCAGATCCAGGTGCTTTGCCAGATGCCTACTCGGAATGATCTCATCTGACCCTTCTGGCAATCCTCTGCCATCCCATCTTACAGTTGGAGAAGTTGGTACCCAGCTTGTATACTGCAGTTCTG